TTTTGGGCAACCCGATTCGAGTCAGATTCACCTCCTACCTTCTGATGCATATGATCATTGAGAAGTTGCTGGTGCGAGCGTTTGGATTAGATCTTGAAGTCGGTAATGTCCATCAATACCTCTACGTGGGGAGGCTTAGCTACTTTAGGACAACAATCACATGCCTGTCAAAACTTGCAAACTAGCTCTATAGATATATAGATACTAATCCTGATTTATCTAGTTTTGAAATACAAGTTATTTTGCCCATCAGTTAAACTATTATCATCACTTATGTTAACATCACAATACACCTTATTCTTTATGTTCTCATTTTACATTTTGCTTGGTTTTTATGGTTTACTAGATTAACCAGTACCCTTTCTATTCTATTAGTGCTAAATTGTTGTTGCTTTAGCTATAGTTCACTTACTGTTGCATAAGTCTTGTTTATGAGTCTTTTACTATTCATGCCGGTTAAATTATAATGTACGAAAAATTAGTTATTGTCATTTCTCTTTTTGCGAGTTACCTTTTTTTTCCATCTAAGATCTGGAAACACATACAAAATAAAAAGTACCTCATAATAGAACCGGTAAAATACCTTACGAACTTTGGAATGAATGTCCACCTAGTTTGGAATACCTTAGAGTGNAATTTTATTTATATTCTATTCTTGTGGTTTGACACATACAAAATAAAAAGTACCTCATAATAGAACCGGTAAAATACCTTACGAACTTTGGAATAGATGTCCACCTAGTTTGGAATACCTTAGAGTGTGGGGGTGTTTGACAAAGGTAATGTTACCCGAGCCTAAAAGGTGAAAAATAGACTCTGGAATTTGTGATTGTGTATTTATTGGATATGCTTCCAATAGTACATCTNACACATACAAAATAAAAAGTACCTCATAATAGAACCGGTAAAATACCTTACGAACTTTGGAATGAATGTCCACCTAGTTTGGAATACCTTAGAGTGTGGGGGTGTTTGACAAAGGTAATGTTACCCGAGCCTAAAAGGTGGAAAATAGACTCTGGAATTTGTGATTGTGTATTTATTGGATATGCTTCCAATAGTACATCTTATAGATTTCTTGTGATAAAAAATGACATTATGGAAGCTACTATTATTATTGAATCTAGTAATGCTTCATTTTTTTGAGAATGTGTTTCCTTTTAAGTTCATGAATCTAAAGATACTCGTGATCATGTTAATAATTCCGGTTATTCACATGTTCAGAGAGCTTATCGGCAAATAATTGGAGGTGTATGTGGATGATATGCTCGTCAAAAGCCTCTGCGTCACTAAGCACATTGATCATTTGAGAAAGGCCTTTGATACGTTCAGAAGCTACAACATGAAGCTCAATCCAACTAAATGTGCCTTGGGGGTGTCCTTAGAGAAGTTNCGTGATCATGTTAATAATTCCGGTTATTCACATGTTCAGAGAGCTTATCGGCAAATTATTGGAGGTATATGTGGATGATATGCTCGTCAAAAGCCTCTGCGCCACTAAGCACATTGATCATTTGAGAAAGGCCTTTGATACGTTCAGAAGATACAACATGAAGCTCAATCCAACTAAATGTGCCTTGGGGGTGTCCTTAGAGAAGTTCTTGGGTTTCATGGTGACCCAAAGAGGAACAGAAGCGGACCCAGAAAAATTAAAGGCACTCTTGGATATGAGGTCCCCATAGAATACCAAAAAAGTCTAGGTGCTTATAGGAAGGGTAGCAGCTTTAAATAGATTCATTTCCAATGCCCGCGATAAATGCCTCCTTCTCTTTAAAGNATAAAAGTCTAGGTGCTTACAGGAAGGGTAGTAGCTTTAAATAGATTCATTTCCAATGCCCGCGATAAATGCCTCCTTCTCTTTAAAGTACTCAGGAAGACTTTCGAGTGGAGATCAGAGTGCAAGGATGCCTTCCAAGTACTAAAGCATTATATCAGCAAACCACCGATCCTCATAAGGCGAAAGCAAGGAGAACCTTTGTATTTGTATCTCACAGTATCCCTAGAGGCGACAAGTGCAGTTCTTGTTAGCCAACGCGAGAAGGTCTTGCGCCCCATCTATTGCATAAGTCAAACGCTGAGAGGAGCAGAAGTCAGGTACCTAATGACGAAAAAGGTGGCCTTAATGTTGGTAACTGCATCCAGAAAGTTAAGGCCTTATTTTTAGGCCCATCCCATCATACTGCTAACAGATATCCCTTTGCCCTCATAGTAGAATTTACCGTTGAGGCATCGGGGTTTGATGACATCACTAGTTAGCTAGGGGAATGGCAAATGTATGTTGACGGATCCTCCAATGGAACTAGGGGAGGGCTTGGTTGGTTCTCATCTCTCCAACGAAAAACAAGATCGAATATGCCCTATGTTTTAGGTTCAAAGCTTTGAATAATGAGGTAGAGTATGAAGCTTTTATTGTAGGGTTGCAATTGGCTCAGACCTTACAGATAAAAACCCTGAAGATGTACAATGACTCATAGCTCATGGTAAGACAACTATAGGGAGATTACGAAGCTAGATACCCATTAATGGGCTTCTACCTAAAAATGGTAGTAGAAAAGATTGCTCATTTTAAGCATTTCAAAATTTCCCAAGACTCATGGTCGCAAAACTCCCATACGGACTCGTTAGCAGGTTAGCCTCAACACTCTTTGACAGTCTGACCAGGACAATATCAGTAGAGTTCCTACTAGAGTCAAGTACTTACAACACTGGTATCCATCCAATTCAGTAGGAGATAAGTTGGATGGATGAAATAACCACGTATTTACAACATAGGATACTCTCCCAAGAGGTCCAAAAAGTGCGGAAGCTACGACGAAGGGCCTCAAGATATATGGTTTTGTACCAAGTACTCTACAAAAGAGGCTATTCACTCCCATATTTGAGGTTCCTAAGCCTATCCAAATTGGCTTATGTCCTTGAGGAGGTTCATGATGCGGTATGTGAAAACCACTCAAGAGGTTACTCTTTAGTCCAAAAGGTCCTAAGACAAGGCTATTTTTGGACCACTATGAAGAAAGATTCTCTAAGTTATGTGCAAAGTCAAGAAAATTCAGAGGACGGACGCTCCCCTTCATAAGAGAGCATGTAGAAGCGAGCTTGGCACGTGAAGCTATCCTTCATAAGAGGGCTTAAGTAACTGCCTAGTAGTCTGCTCGCTCATATCCCACGAAAATAGCTCACTCTAGTTGCAAATACTCTTGGGGGGAGTTCCACTTTTCTTGTCACCTCATTTAAAAAGCAACTGAGGGTTCAAATGGTACAATTAGCTTAACTTATAAAAGGATCATGCAAGGCATGAATTAGGTAAGTAATCACCTTCTCAACTAAATATAATTCAGTCAATTACCCCCTTTCTGAATTTATCATCGAATAGTCAACCATTGGAGCCTTTTCGGTCTTTAACTTCCTTTACAGGTATCTACTAATGATTGAAAAATCAGCTCACACTCTGGAGGTGCAACTTTTGGGATCAACAATGATGATGCAAAAAACTGAGACACATGAGCTGGAAAAGCTGATGAGCTTTGTGTGAGGTATATGGAGTATGTGCAATGGAATAAGAGACACAAGGGATCAAGTGGTTCACCAAGCTGCAAAGCTAGGCTATGGTAAGGCAATGGTCTGCCTATTTATACACAAGGGTGATGTAATCCTAACAAACTTGTCAGGAAATATTTGGGGTAATCATTGGTCATTATAGACTCTCTCTAGGTGTGATGTGACATTTTATGAAGTGGCATATCAGAGGTAGTGACTTCTTACCCAAGTTAGGTTTTCTAGTGAAAGTCATTTTCTAACCTTTACTTTTCCTGAGATAATATGCCTATGGCTGACCTGACCTGCCACAAGTCTGAGCTGAGCGATTTCTTCTGGATTCATCAGTTGCCCCTCAAACTCNTGAGATAATATGCCTATGGCTGACCTGACCTGCCACAAGTCTGAGCTGAGCGATTTCTTCTGGATTCATCAGTTGCCCCTCAAACTCGAGTAGGGACTGGTCCAAGTTGGTTGTGGTTGGGGCTGAGCTGTTAGAAGTAATGTTTATCTGATCATGTTCTTGGAATTGTGTGCAACCAAACATACGTGAATGATCGTTGTCCTTTTTATTCGGAACTGTGTAAGCAAGGTTCTTGTTTGACGTTTTATTTGTCAGGGCATGCCAATTGTGAGGTGACGCATGGCCATGGGTGCTGGCGCATTAAATGCATTTTTTACATATTAGTTGTATATTATGATGAAAGAATTGCCAATTCCCGTTACTTATTTAAACCTTCGGCTTGCACTATAGCCTTCCCTACTACCTTCATCATCTTTTTCAATAAGAGAGAGAAACTCAAAGATAAAATAAAGAGTTACTAGAGAGAGATCCATTTCAANTTCATCATCTTTTTCAATAAGAGAGAGAAAGAGAGAGAGAAACTCAAAGATAAAATAAAGAGTTACTAGAGAGAGATCCATTTCAACGTTCCTTCTTATGATGTCCAGTGTCCTAATCTCCCTCAAGGTCTAGTTGGCCCCTTTCTTAGGTATGCCTTATTCTTCTCCCTAATTCTGGATAAATTTAATCCTTGGTGGGGGTCCAGAGGCCTCCATTTTCTTGTCCTTAAGTTTTTCTATTTTAGGGGACTCAATAGGTCCTTAGAGCTTCTTTATGCCTTCATCAATCCTTTTTCAGTAGCAAGGTTTTTCTTAGCTCGTGATTGGTGTCTTAATCCTTGATCAATCGAAGATTGTNAGCTTCTTTATGCCTTCATCAATCCTTTTTCAGTAGCAAGGTTTTTCTTAGCTCGTGATTGGTGTCTTAATCCTTGATCAATCGAAGATTGTTCATTGAACATCCTTGATCTGTACCGTAGGTTGAACTATCTCGCTCCCATGGTTAGAGTGACATTTGTTTCAGCTTCTGCCACCCCTTATTCAATTTTTGCTATGTTTAGGGGTGATTCTTCACAAATAGAGGTCAGTTCATCCATCNTGCCACCCCTTATTCAATTTTTGCTATGTTTAGGGGTGATTCTTCACAAATAGAGGTCAGTTCATCCATCAAACAAGATGTCCTTGACCTTGAGGGGATCTGGAGGGATGAGTTTCCCCAAACTACAGTTGTTCCTGAGGAGGATGCTCCTCAAAGGACAAAGGAGGTGGCACTTAAGGGGACTTCTAAGAAGGATGCTTAAAAATAGTTGGGAAGGCCTCTGATCAGCGCCCCTTCTACATCTAGTGTGAGCCCTTCTTCGAAGAGGAGAAAGGTTCCTTGGTGTGCAACAAGATTTCTGAGGCTTGAGCTGAGGCAATTAAGGATCACTGGGGGTTTCAACATTTTAACGTCTATTACTCTGGGAAGGTCTGCTTCTTTGAGGTGCCTTCAAATTCGGATTGAGGTTCCCTATGCAACCTTTCATCCAAGTTGTCATTCGCCATTACGACTTGTGCCTTTCTCAGGTGTCTCCCAATGGTTGGGATCTANTGTGCAACAAGATTTCTGAGGCTTGAGCTGAGGCAATTAAGGATCACTGGGGGTTTCAACATTTTAACGTCTATTACTCTGGGAAGGTCTGCTTCTTTGAGGTGCCTTCAAAGTCGGATTGAGGTTCCCTATGCAACCTTTCATCCAAGTTGTCATTCGCCATTACGACTTGTGCCCTTCTCAGGTGTCTCCCAATGGTTGGGATCTGTTGGTCGGATTGCTCGTCCACTGGTGTGAGAGCGAGATTGAATACTTTCTCCGAATTTGTTCACTTATTTCATTTGAAGCCTTTTCTTGTTAAAGGATTCTTCTATTTTTCTAAGAGGGTTCAGGCGGCCAACCTAGTTGACAACACTCCCTCTTTCATAAAGACTTGAAGAAATACTTCTTCTTCATGTCTGGGGATGGTTAGGAATTTGAAAGGGAAGTCAGAGAAATCTTTTGTGTTTCTCGGCTTTGGGAACCCTCCCCCCAAAATACGTGCAATTCTAATTTTTAGTAGGTAGATCATAGTATGACCTGACTTGCTTTTTTGAATTTGACTTGTTTTTGTTGTGATTGCAGAGTATGTGACCGTTCGGAATATNCCCCAAAATACGTGCAATTCTAATTTTTAGTAGGTAGATCATAGTATGACCTGACTTTCTTTTTTGAATTTGACTTGTTTTTGCTGTGATTGCAGAGCATGTGACCGTTCGGAATATATCCAAACTGATTCACATCTCTTAAGCTCATAAACACGATGCTAGGATCTAGTCCAAGTTGGTCATTCCTAGCAATTTAGCTAAATACAATCTAGGTCCCCTAGTTGAAGATGCTATTCTAGCTGAAGAAACTCCCCCTAGTGAGTATCCCCTTATTTTTNTTGAATTTGACTTGTTTTTGCTGTGATTGCAGAGCATGTGACCGTTCGGAATATATCCAAACTGATTCACATCTCTTAAGCTCATAAACACGATGCTAGGATCTAGTCCAAGTTGGTCATTCCTAGCAATTTAGCTAAATACAATCTAGGTCCCCTAGTTGAAGATGCTATTCTAGCTGAAGAAATTCCCCCTAGTGAGTATCCCCCTATTTTTGCTTAGTGTTTTTCTATTTCTTTCTTAGCTGACCTCCTTTTTCTTTGTCCATGTAGATTTTGCTGTGATGGACCCCTTGATAAGGATGCTCTAAAGAAGGCCCTTGCTAATAGGAAAGAGGCCAGACAATTCGGGGATCCCATGCCTTCTAAAAGGCATAGACTCCGGATGAAGGTGTACAGGGCTGTTGCTCAACAAATTGACTTGCCTAATACCTGGAAGGTTGCCACATCTGACCCTCCTCAGCCTCAGGAGAGATATGAGGAGATTGTCTTGTCTAGAGGTAGGAGGTCACCACTTGAAANGCCCTTGCTAATAGGAAAGAGGCCAGACAATTCGGGGATCCCATGCCTTCTAAAAGGCATAGACTCCTGATGAAGGTGTACAGGGCTGTTGCTCAACAAATCGACTTGCCTAATACCTGGAAGGTTGCCACATCTGACCCTCTTCAGCCTCAGGAGAGATATGAGGAGATTGTCTTGTCTAGAGGTAGGAGGTCACCACTTGAAGACATCGGGGTTATTTCCATGAAAGATTTTGGTAAGGTTTCTGAGGTCCCTACATCAATTTCTCAGACGTCTACTGACGCTAGTTCAAGCCAGCCTGCTTAGTCTATCAAAGGGCAGAGCTCGATGTGCAACCCAACCCTAGGCACAATGGATGCTTGAGATCTATAATCTAAACCTAATTTTGATCTAAATAATTTTTCAATTATACTTTCAAATTTGTTTTCAATAATGCCATCATTAAATCTTTCGATTAAGATCACTGTTTAGCTGATTCTTAATTAAGTTCAAATATCAGATCATAAATTAATACTATATGGAGTTAGAAAGTGACTCTCGATGATTTAGAATTCTAAATCAATGTTTGAAAACCCTAAATTTACTATTTTCTGAATGCAACTTCATCAAACTATTTTCAAAAGCCAATTTTATTTTAATTTTCTTTGTGTTCTAAGTCTTTTTTTAATCAATTTCCTGTGGTACGATATTGAACTCCCAAAAAATTTATTACTTCGCACAACCTACACTTGAAGGCTCCCTACAATTATTGACTTAAGCATCAGGGGTCGACCCCCAAAGCTCCCCCATTTGTCTCTGACTTCTTTTCAGCTTCACCGTCATTTCAAAATTCTCACTTGGTGCCTTCAAGAGTTGATCCAAACAACCATTAAGCAAATCAGCTCTCCGAGAAGGCAGAAAGGGTCATCCCAATAGTAATTATAGTCATATGATCAAAGCAGAAGTTAGATTGCTAAAGAAAATAGGGGAGAGCAACAATAAGGAAGAAAATGAAAGGTTAGAAAGATCACATACCGTACAAAAGTGATGGACTAATACCTTCAACATCCTAACTGTCCCCAACTGCATCACCTTATGGACTTCAGGGCTGGGTACCAAGTCTTGAAACTTTTACATAACAAAGTCTAGATCATTCCAAATATTCCTTGGAGCAATATTAGGCTTAACAGTAGGTGGAGGTGCAAGAAGGGTCCATACAGGTTCAACTATAAGAAGCCTTCCCTCAATGACCTTCACTTTCTTTTTGCTTATAGAGGTATCAAGAGAGGATTCCACATCTTGAGGAATCAGTTCAGAAGAAACAACAGGGGATAACTTTACTGAAGGAGATCCCCCAATCTTATCCTCTTGGCAATTAGAAGAGGAGGGCTGGATAGACCTTTAGCTTTGTGCACCTTGAACTCTTTTAGAGCTTTCTTGTCATTCTTTGGGGGCAGATTGACATCGGTTAGCAAAATTTAAAGAGATTGACATCGATCAATAAAAGACCAGAATCTTTAACTTGAAGCACCTTTATCCTATTTTGATACTCTTTTAGAAAGATCATGTTGTCAATTGCAATAGAGAAAAAANGTACCAAGTCTTGAAACTTTTACATAACAAAGTCTAGATCATTCCAAATATTCCTTGGAGCAATATTAGGCTTAACAGTAGGTGGAGGTGCAAGAAGGCTCCATACAGGTACAACTATAAGAAGCCTTCCCTCAATGACCTTCACTTTCTTTTTGCTTATAGAGGTATCAAGAGAGGATTCCACATCTTGAGGAATCAGTTCAGAAGAAACAACAGGGGATAACTTTACTGAAGGAGATCCCCCAATCTTATCCTCTTGGCAATTAGAAGAGGAGGGCTGGATAGACCTTTAGCTTTGTGCACCTTGAACTCTTTTAGAGCTTTCTTGTCATTCTTTGGGGGCAGATTGACATCGGTTAGCAAAATTTAAAGAGATTGACATCGATCAATAAAAGACCAGAATCTTTAACTTGAAGCACCTTTATCCTATTTTGATACTCTTTTAGAAAGATCATGTTGTCAATTGCAATAGAGAAAAAATAGTACTCAATTTTCTTCCTATGCAAAAGGAAAAATTCAAGAAACAACATAAAGCTCACTAGAGGAGGAAGGCACAACACCCCATCGAGTAAGAATCATAGTAGGCTAAGCAACAAGAGTCTCTGAAGGGCTGAATTCCCAATTAGAGTCAGAAACAAAGAAGAAATAGTCCTTCCATTCTTTTGGAGGAGAAGGAGTCTTGGTCAAGAGGTCCNAAGGAAAAATTCAAGAAACAACATAAAGCTCACTAGAGGAGGAAGGCACAACACCCCATCGAGTAAGAATCATAGTAGGCTAAGCAACAAGAGTCTCTGAAGGGCTGAATTCCCAACTAGAGTCAGAAACAAAGAAGAAATAGTCCTTCCATTCTTTTGGAGGAGAAAGAGTCTTGGTCAAGAGGTCGGTGTTGGTAGGTTTTTTGGTTAGATACTACCAACCGTTGCATAGGCTAGTGCCAACCTTAACTTGAAGTGAATGTAAAATTTTTCACACAAAATGGAATACACCAACACCTAAGGTAGAGCCCCAAAGAATGCCCAGGCCTGTCAAGATCCTCCAACTATTAGAGGTAAGCTGGGCGGGGGCAATATTAAGGAAAGGCAAGAAACTATGAATGAAAGGGTGGATAGGAAACCTCAGCCCTAAGATTAGGGCAACTTCGTGGAAGCAAACCTCACATTCGACAGAATCTCAGGCTCTCTAGTCATTACTAGGAATTCTAAAATGAATGGAGTCGAGAATGGAGCACTGAGTCCTAATTCTCTCAAGATCTTTCTTAGTAATGTTACTCTAGACCCATTTGGCGTAAAAGTCAAGTTATAAAAGTGTCTTTGTCAAAGTCTCATCCAAGAAAAGCTTTGGGTCATGGTTTGCAAGGTCTTCCTCGCTCACTAGAGAGAGGACATGTTCAGAAGAAGTCTCTTCAGAGGGCATGGAAGGAAAATAACTATTATGAATGTAAAATGAAGGGGGAGCAAGATAATCAAAGAATTGAGAAAGATTCTAACTAAGAANATGTTACTCTAGACCCATTTGGCGTAAAAGTCAAGTTATAAAAGTGTCTTTGTCAAAGTCTCATCCAAGAAAAGCTTTGGGTCATGGTTTGCAAGGTCTTCCTCGCTCACTAGAGAGAGGACATGTTCAGAAGAAGTCCCTTCAGAGGGCATGGAAGGAAAATAACTTTTATGAATGTAAAATGAAGGGGGAGCAAGATAATCAAAGAATTGAGAAAGATTCTAACTAAGATTAAAAATCTTTGTAAGAACGACAACAGATTGGAAAATTCAAGAAGAACCCTAAATTCACTACAACAGATTTATTCACAAGGAAGCAGAATCTGTAGAAGAAAAATTGGAAAGGAAAAGCCAAGACAAAGTGATCTAAAATTCAAAAACTCAAATCGCTTAGGAGACGAAAGAATTGAAGTTGCAAAGAAGAAGGAAAAAGTTTCAAGACTTAATGGCATCTTGAACTAGAACTTCAAAGGGTTTAAATAGCTCAAGGAGTGGAGGTTATAAAAACCATCTCATTTAACTGATGAGACGTCCACACGTAAGCTGTTTTAGTCTCCCAAGAAGGTAACAAACAAAAAAAGAAGGTGAAGAATGGTACAAGAACCAGTCACGTCGAATACACCTGATTAGGGGGCAACTAAAAAACAAAACATTAATTGTACCATTGGGAAAGCTATGCCAGAGGTCACCCATTTAAAAAGTATCTGTTGGGAAGGTTGCCGACCTCCAAAGTGAATGGGGAAAGGAGATAGTTGTGCTTGTCCTAGTAATCAGTTCCGCCCTACTTGGCTACATTATGAACTCAGATCAAAAGNTTCAAAAACTCAAATCGCTTAGGAGACGAAAGAATTGAAGTTGCAAAGAAGAAGGAAGAAGTTTCAAGACTTAATGGCATCTTGAACTAGAACTTCAAAGGGTTTAAATAGCTCAAGGAGTGGAGGGTATAAAAACCATCTCATTTAACTGATGAGACATCCACACGTAAGCTGTTTTAGTCTCCCAAGAAGGTAACAAACAAAAAAAGAAGGGGAAGAATGGTACAAGAACCAGTCACGTCGAATATACCTAATTAGGGGGCAACTAAAAAACAAAACATTAATTGTACCATTGGGAAAGCTATGCCAGAGGTCGCCCATTTAAAAAGTATCTGTTGGAAAGGTTGCCGACCTCCAAAGTGAATGGGGAAAGCAGATAGTTGTGCTTGTCCTAGTAATCAGTTCCGCCCTACTTGGCTACATTATGAACTCAGATCAAAAGATAAGATTATTCACTATTTGAAAATTAAAGAGTCTACTAAACTGAATTAGCAACCATGCTTTGAAGGAAAAGGAGTTAAGACCTTTAGTCCCAAAGGAGTATCAATTCCTTTATCAGCACAAGCGAAATTCAAAAGACTCCTTAAGCACCAAGTTTTGTCCGCCAATAGTAATAATCTGGGAGTCTACACTCCCAACCAAAAGGATTCTAGCCTCCTCATAGTGGATAAGGGAGCCTAGAGTCCATTCTCCTACAAAACTGACTTACAACTATAAAAAGGAGCAGGGGCGAAGCGAAGAATTCATATGGGAATGGGCACTATAACATTGTAAATGATAACTATCACAAATTAGGAAAATAATTAGGGTTAAAATACACAAAAAATTAGATTANTGGGAGTCTACACTCCCAACCAAAAGGATTCTAGCCTCCTCATAGTGGATAAGGGAGTCTAGAGTCCACTCTCCTACAAAACTGACTTACAACTATAAAAAGGAGCAGGGGCGAAGCGAAGAATTCATATGGGAATGGGCACTATCGCATTGCAAATGATAACTATCACAAATTAGGAAAATAATTAGGGTTAAAATGCACAAAAAATTAGATTAGNATGGGAATGGGCACTATAACATTGTAAATGATAACTATCACAAATTAGGAAAATAATTAGGGTTAAAATACACAAAAAATTAGATTAGGAAAAATGCATGAAAAAATCCAATTAGGGTTAAATGCACAAAAAATCAAAAAATACTAAACCCAAGTGAGCTATTGTGTAAGTGTGTGATTGTTTGTTGTGGGCAGGCATATTTGTGTATGTGTGTTGTTTTGTGTTCTATGTGAGGCTGAGTTTTGTGTTGTGTGCGTGGGTTCTTCATTTATGAAGAAAGAAAAAGAGGGAGAGGGGGAGGGAGAGAGAGNGCATATTTGTGTATGTGTGTTGTTTTGTGTTCTATGTGAGGCTGAGTTTTGTGTTGTCTGCGT